CACTAGCATGGACTTTGACACTATGCATACATGTATCTGACTGTAAAACCTCGGTTGCTGCTGAAAAAAAATGTGATTTTAGCATTAGACAAAGGTTGAAAGTCAGCTAGTGAATCATCCATTTACGATATATATATATATTAAAGTGAGAGCGTCGAACGCACTCTCGTAATCTCTGATTACTACTAGTTCTAATATGTAGATTTAGCCAAGCCTAAAAGCAGAGCTCCTGATTACAGTAAGTTAACGTAGCCTGAGCCTGTGATCCAATCGAAAGGCTGTACCTGGTCAGCGTTCAACTTTAGAAAACGCGCTACCTCGATGAGCTCTGAACATGAGCCAGCGATGTGGTCACGTGATACTGGTCAGCGGATACCTTTTTTTGACAGGTGTCTATTGAACATAGCATGGACGCCCAATAATAAAGATGTGCGCTGTAAACCCGCCACTCCTGATCTCTAAGGAAAAGCCTTGGGAACTAGTGTTGCATAGTAACATTTCGCATTGATTTACCTGAAGAGGCGTACGTGCGGACGTAAGTTCGTACGTAGGGACAATCATGTGACAACCAATATTTTTTTTTTAGTTCGATGGGTTACCAAATTTCGTAAGGTATGGGGCTGTGGTCGCGCGCCTGGAACTCCGCCATTAGTCGTCATAGTGTCTGTTATATGTGTTGCTTATTCAATTTCTTACATGTTGTATCATAGGCGGTGATTTTTTCTTAATATGCGGCGTTCATTGGACTCTACCTGGTACATTATAAAGCACCAAGTATAATGAAAATTACAGCCAATCATTATATCTCTCAGTTAGTACACACGCTGTGATTGGTCAATTTAGCGAGCCGTAATCTACTGTACGGCCCGCTAAAATTTAAAGCTGTTTTTGTTGCCAAAATGTTTCGTGATTTATTGCCAAGTGTTCTTAACCTTTTTAGCAGGTAAAAGTTTAAAACTTTCTTTTACTTCTAAAACTGTGTATTAAAAGTTAGTGACGATTTAAAGTTGACTCGTTTAGCTTTCGAGGTGCGTGAGAAATTTGAAACCGTTCTGTGTGAATGGAAATCGTTCCCGAACCCGAAATCGTTCCCTTCGATTTATGGCCCGCGCGCTTCGCGCTTGGGCCATGAATCGATGGGAAAAAAACTCGGTCCGTAACTTACAGTATGGCCCTCGAACTCGATTAATAATAGGTATGTTTATGGAAAATTAGAAAAATTAACTCAGCGTCTTCTAGCCAGGCTACATCCTCCAAAGTTAGTGATCTTCTACCTGGTATTTTAACGTTGCGATTCACAACTTGTGTAAAATTCAATTTTGGAAAAATTTTTTAGCCATCAGATTCCCATACAAACACTGTAATTTGTGACCCCTTTACCTACCCAGCAAGATGGCATCGAAAAACGTGATAAGGTCTATTATTGGTGAACGCAGAGTGAACGTACCTTCGCCATATTTTTTTTCCTGCAGAGGATTGCGTGACGTATGTCAGCTGTTGGCCAGTTGTGTCTTTCGTTATAGGTTGATACGTCATGTAACTAAAGCAACGTAGCCAACGTAATGTCGTCCGAGATTTGAGCCACAAAGTGATCAATTTTTCGCTTGTCTTCGGATATGTTGACTTGTGCAAGGTTGAGAGGCAAAGTCCTTTTCAGTCCGCTGTCATCAGCGTACCAGGTACGATTTATGCGGTCGATTTTAGTGGATTTTAGTGGTAGAAAGACAGACGTGACGTTTCACACGGACCGATTGTAACAAATTTTGTCTCCGCAAAGACAGCCAAGCGATTTCGCTGTTTCAATATAAAGTATTTTCTTTAACTTCTAAGAGGCTAAATATATGTCCCTTAATACTGCTTTGAAACATACTGTAAGCTTATGTGAGCTTGAACTGATAACGGATCGAAATGGCTGTTAAGCCTTATGGCTTTAGATTGCCATAATTTTTTTTGTTATGATAGGCTTATACATATATTTTTTCCGGAGGACCTATTAGAAGTTTCACCTGGCTAAGAAACAGTTTTAACCACTGACATGGATATGACTTGTGTCAGTCCCAAGCTTGAAATCCCTCGGAGAGGGGGAGGGGAGATAGGTGTGTGCGATGCGTGTGGCAGCTGGAAGTGGGAGGGGAGGGTGAGTGGATGGCAGCAGGCGACATTTCGGTATTTTCCAAATTGTTTTCTGCGTCTGTGTTAAAACGAGTCCTATTACAAAACTATTCATGTGAAAATATGTTCCACTTACAGGTTCATGAATTAAATGTGTAAATCAAACTCATTTTCGTAACATGAAAGGTTCTGCACACTCGTCTTGAAACCGAGAGACAAGCAAACTCGGAAATGACCTAATGACCCTTTCTTTATCTGCTATGAGAAAAGACTTCCTTCGTAAGCTGCTTTTCTGATCTTGAGGTAGAAAATATAACCTATTCTAATTGGCATATGATGTTACAATATGGTTTTTAATTGCCTCCCAGTTTTCATGATGATGATTATTTTTTGACAAAATTATGTTTACTTTTTCACCATCCATTTTGCTATCCTAGCTAAGGTGATATTATGTGTGTTGCTTTTACATTGCATGTATCTAGGATATAAATCAGACCAGGTTCTAAATCTCTTTGAGCCCGGATGTTATCATGAAAAACTCTTCTTAAAGGTCTTCAACATTACTTTTTGGTCCATTAAGGAGAACTGCCTTAGCTATAAAAACACTTTCCTAA